GGAATATGAAGATAATTTAAGGAACAGTTTCTGCCATCTAATGCTTAGTCTGGTTTAAGGGGCCCACTAAAAAGTCTAAATCAAGTAGAAATGCTAGAATAAACATGTATGCTAATATTATAGTAGCACTCCCTAAAGAGGGAGTGATTAAACTCTAGTGAGGCTAAGGTCTCCCTCTTATTATTTAGGTCTCCCTCCCACAATTTAAGCTTGATTCTTAAAGATAGAAAGGAGGAGAGAAGGGCTTTTCAGGAAAGGGAACAGTGTATACAACGTCAAGACACTTAAAAGTTTATGATATGTCCTGGGGAAATTGAGTAGAGTAGTTTGATGTGATAAGAGTTGGAAAGGTAAATTGGGCAGAGTTGTGGAAAACTCATACAGTTATGAATTCAGGCTTTATCTTTTGAGCATTGAAGAAACATAGAAGGGTTTATAAAGCAGTGCTTGATCAGAACTACAATTTGTATTTATAACTTGAATGTCCATGTGAATTGATAGGTCAGAGAAACATGGCAAGGAAACTACTACCTTTCCCCTAGGCTTACGTAAAATGAAAGAGGCTGTCCTATGGTATTAGCTATGCAGAGAGATAGAAGAAGGAAAAAAATACACAACTGAGCAAGAATTAGTAGGATTTGTGAGTAGTGTGGCAGTGAGAGTAAAGGATGATTGTGATCCTTCATTTGTACACTGGGTGAATAGTAGTGCAATTCATTGATTTAAAAAAAAGGATTCAGAAGAAGGATCAGACAGTGAGTAAAGTTTTGACACAGTCTGGAGTACTTAGCTAAAGATGTCTGTACAATAGACAGTTGAGGAAGGGGCTATAGATATATATTAGGAATTGTTTGTATGTTGTTGACTGTAGATGAGATGACTCTTATAAGAGAGTCTGTAAATGAGCCATTGCCAAAACAGAATCCTGGATGAACGTTTTGAGGGCAGATAGCAAAAAGGAATAGTTGTGTTTCAAATTGCAATCCTATTTTATCTATTTTTTTTAATAGACTTTTTTAGAGCAGTTTAGAATCACAGTAGAATTGACAGGAAGGTATAGAGATTTATTATATAAACTTGCCCCCACATATGCATAGCCTCTCCTCTACTATCAATATTCTTTTCCTTTTAAAATAAAGTTTATTGCAGTAAAATTTATACACAGTAGAATGCAACCCTTTTAAGTGTACAGTTCTGTGAGCTTTAATAAATGTAAACTTTTAGGTAACCACCACCACCACCACAGCAGAGTATTTTCATTACTCCAAAAGGTCCCTTTGTTGTTCTTTTTAGTCCTCTTCCCCCTTTCCAGCAACCAGTGACGTGATTTCTGTCCCTAAACTTTTGCTTTTTCCAGAATGCCATGTAAATGGAATCATACACTATGTAGCCTTTGTGTCTGGCTTCTCTGTGACCTTACAATAGTGCTTTTGAGATTCATCCATGTTGCTATATTAGTAATTCATTCCTTTTTATTTCTGGGTAGTGGTACATTGTATAGGTAGATAAAAATTTGTTAATCCATTCATCAGTTTATAAACATTTACTTTATACTCAGTTTTTGGCAGTTATGAATGAATAATACTGCTATAAACATTCCCAAACAGGTCTTTGTGTAGACATGTTTTTATTTTTCTTGGGTAAATAACAAGGAGTCAGTCATATGGTAAGGGTATATTTTTTATGAAATGTAAAAAAAGCTTCATAATTGTACCATTTTGCATTCCCAGCAGCAATGTATGAGAGTTTTTCAGTTGTTCCACATCCTTGCCAGCCTTTAGTGTTACCAGAATTGTTTTTTTGTTTTTAGTTTTAGCCATTCTTATAGGTATATAGAGGCATATTGTTGTGGTTTCAATTTCCCTAGTGGCTAATGATACTGAGTTTCTTTTACGTGCTTATTTACCATCTGTATATCTTCTTTGTTGAAATGTCCACTCCTGCTTTTTTAATTTAGGTTGCTTGTTTTCTTATTATTGAGTTATGAGAGTTCTCTATATTCTGAATATAAATATTTCACGAGATACGTGATTTGCAAATAATTTCTCCGAGTCTAGCCTGTCATTTCATTCTCAGCAGTGTCTTTTGAACACAAGTTTCTTGTTTTGATTAAGTGCATTTTATCAGTTTTTTTTTTTTTGCATACTTATCCTGCTCTGAGAAATCTTTGTGTCCCAGGATCACAAAGATTGTTTTCTTCTTGAAGTTTTATAGTTTTTGTATATGCTGTGAAATACTTGTTGAGATTGATGTTTTTCTGCATATGTATGGATGTCATGTTAATTGCCAACTTTGTTGAAACCAATTGGCCATATATGTGTGGATCTATTTCTGGATTCTGTTTTGTTCCATTGATATGTATGTCTGCCCTTTCATTAATATCACCTTGTCTTAATTGCTTTACCTGTGACTACATTTTTTTTTTTAGAGATGATTGTGATATCTGCTAGGAATGCTGTTGGCAGCAAGGAACAGAAAGCCCAGCTAATAGTGGGTTTTTCTGTTATAACAGGAAGTCTAGAATAAGCAGTTGCTGGTTTGTTTAAGCTGTTCTTCTATACCAGGCATCATCAGCAAACTAAGCCTGCTGGCTTAATCTCACCTGCCACTTATTTTGTACATCGCCTATGCAGGTTCTTAAAATTGCATTTGTCCAGGCTCTCTCTGTGAAGCTGATTCAGTTGTCAGCTGGGGAGCTGAGGGGACAAAGTGAGGAGCAGGTATTTAAATTTTAGCATGCTTTCTCATAATATTGGCAGTTGCGTTGTATCATCATGGTTAAGAACCATTCATCTAAGGTTGTTTCTTAGAGTGTAGTCCCCAGACTGGCAGCATCACCAATAAAACTTTTTAAAAATGCACATTGTCAGGCCCACCCCAGACTTACTGAATTAGAGTTTGGTTACGGCTGAACAGTTTGTGTTTAGAAGTTCTGTAGGTGATTCTGATGCTTGCTAAAGTTAGAGAGCTTTAAGAGGCATTGCTGAATGTTCCCCTAGGGAAGATTAATTGACTTAAAAAAAATAGTTGATTTAAGTGTGTGTGTGTATTATAATGTCATAGTAATTTTGAAATTGGATTAAAGGTTTACAACTAATCTAACGTAATTGTACTCTATTGGACCTAATTATCCAAACATATGTTAGATTGCTTTTTTAAAGCAGCTTTTAAAAATCAACATTTGTATATGTGTGTGTGTGTGTACATCCTAACCATTAAGGAAGAGTTAAGGAAATGAAATACAAGGCAGTCCTTATATTTATAGACTATAAATGAGGGAAGAATGCAAGGTCATATGTATAAACACAAAAGATATATATACGTGTTTTCTTTCAGGGTTAGGTATATTTTTGTTAATAATGAAAATATTAAAGTGCAGGTAACTTTACTTACCCTGTATACCAAAGAACAGAACAGTACTTCAGAGCAGGTAAAATATAATGTCTTCTCTTCAATTTAGCTTGCTCTTTTAGTGATAGCCTTCCCAATTATAGTTACTAATTACTTAAATAAGAATCTAATATCTTTTCTCTTTTTTCTGGAAGCTCTAACTATCTTACTTACATTATTTCTCCTTTTCTGGGGAAACAGTTTAGGTTGAATTAGGCTTATTTTGTCTACTGCACGTGATAGAGTATTTCTTTCCCAGTTCTGAAAGAATAAGAGGTTAATTGGAACTAAGCTCTAGTTTGTTTTTTAGGTGCTTCAAAAAAAAGCTTTGACAGCAGAATTTCTGAAAAAAGAAATTTGGTTGCACTTGTGGATTTCTAGGATTGGGCATAACAAAGATTGAAAATTACTTCAACCACCTGTAATTCCATTAACAGTAACTGTCAACATATAAAATTTAGTTCACAGAAACAGGTATTGTCATTGACACCAAAGGCTGGATACCTCTCTGGCCATTTCTAAGACAAGAGTAGCTGACATGTTAGAATTTCCTTGGGAAAATATCAGCGTAAAGGACTTAAGACTGGTTCTCAATCATAACTTATAGCCAGAGGGAGATGAAATTTATGGAGTCACAAAAGATGTTTGAGCTGGGTTCATTGATAGTCCAAATGTACCTATGTTATTGGAATTTTTCTTCTTGACTTTGGTGTTTACTGGTAAGACCTTATCCTCTTTAACAATCTCATAGCCCCACCCATTTTAACTATTTGTCAGGTTTTAGTCTTCAGGAAGCCTTCTGGGTCATGACTTCCTTTTCCTGAATTAATTCTTTTGTTAATTTTTCTGGCATTTCTTGAATAAGCTTTTGGTGACAGTACTGGGTTTTGTCACTTAACAGTTTTGTGTAGCATTGGGCAGTCTCTACCTGATTTTGTACTTGCTTACTTCCTTGTTGAGCAACTAATAATAAACCATCATGACTCCAGAAAAATACTTGACATTATAGAAGTGGAGTGCTTCTGTTCCTCAGGGCCATTTTATATACATGATTCTTCCTAGCTTTATTCAAGTGTCTCAGGAACTTTAAGAACCTATTCATATCAGAAGTCTCCCTCTAAAATACAGCAGACTGTTTACAGCAGGAGTGGTAAAATACAAATGAAAATTTATTACCTTACAAGTATGTTTCTACTCATAACTTCTGGAAACAAATACATCTTCCCTTTTTTCCTTAAAGATAAGAGAAAGTGCTAAAGATTTTCCTCCTACTAGCATTATTTTTCACCAGACAAGTAAATTACAAATATTATAATAGCAGGACACTGTAGAAAATTTTTAGTAATATTGACAAACTATCACATGAGTTCCTGGGTGTATTAGTCTCAAATTCACTATGTACTTTTTCAGAAAAAAAATGGTATGAATTTAAGAGAGCAGCTGCAGCTCTTATTTATTGCAGATCTTGATTCATTCTATATTTTGAAAACATTCAGAAGATACCTTTGTATCTAAAGAAATGCTGACAGTTTTCTCTAGAATGTGGAACCACTTTAATCAGTACTGGCCTCTTTCTCACTTTGCTGATTGCATATATTTGTGACCTTTAGATTATAGGCAATGGAAGTGAGCAGCAGCTGCAAAAAGAGCTAGCAGATGTGCTGATGGATCCTCCAGTGGACGACCAGCCAGGGGATAAGGAGCTTGTGGAAAGGTCACAACTGGATGGTGAAGGAGATGGGCTTCTTTCTAATCAACTTACAGCTTCATCTACCATTAACCCTGTGCCATTAGTAGGGCTCCAAAAACCAGAGATGAGCCTGCCAGTGAAACCTGGACAAGGAGGTTAGGATTGCTGCATTGTTTGCGTAACTGAAGGTTATTGTTTTTAATATTTGAGGTCCACCTGTAGTGGATTTGATTCAGAGCAAACAAAAACCATTATCTAAAGTCTCTAGTATCTCCACATACTAGTTTTGGGGGATTGTGAGAGGAGTAAATGCATGTACCACTCTACTTTCCCTTAAAACGTATGTCTTTTACACCAAAGAAAAAAGGTAAATGACATTAAAAGAGTGTTATTTCAGACTGTTTAAAGACTTTTCCAGGAAAGAAGGAATTTGAGTATAAAGTGGAGAAGTGGAGGAAAATGCTTGCTGAACAGATGCTTACTGCAGTGGGAATAGTTACCAAGTAAAGAAATGGAAAGGCATAGGAGAGAAGGAGGAGAAGGGCAATTAGAAGTGCTCATTGGGGTAAAGTAGGGTGTTAAAACTGTAGATGTTTATTGGGAAAGGGAAAGCTAAGGGGTTGAGAAAACACAAGTGAGAACTAAAAAAATCTTTATGTGAAAATAAAGATAAGTTAAATAAATAATTATAACAGTGCAGATCAAAAAGAAGAAAGTGATATCGTTTTCAGAGTGGTAAGATACTAAATGTATCTTTTGACCTGAGTGTAGAACAAGTCAAAACAAATTAGAAGACAGAAAGGCCAATCAAATCTCATCTCAGTTCCCCTTTTAAACAGTATAGCAAAACCTAAAACTTCTAGTGAAAGAGCTCTAGTATGATTATTTCTGGCTTTAATGGGCATTTCTTCTGGGGTACTGGCATGTTATCTCATTAGCACTTAATTTTAGAATCTAATGAAACTTGTAGATTGTTAACTTTGTATTCATGTCAACAGAATATTAGAATGAAATAACTGTTGTTTCTTTCAGATTCTGAAGGGTCAAGTCCCTTCACACCAGTGGCTGATGAGGACAGTGTCATTTTCAGCAAACTAACTTACTTAGGCTGTGCCTCAGTAAATGCTCCTAGGAGTGAAGTGGAAGCCTTAAGGATGATGTCCATCCTAAGAAGCCAGTGTCAGATTTCATTAGATGTGACCCTCTCAGTGCCGAATGTATCTGAAGGAACTGTGAGGTAAGACCAGCTTTTTGAAATGTCTGTATCATTTGATCAGATTTCCTGTAGTTTTAGAAAGATGAACAAAATACATAATGATTCCTGTAATGTTAAATTCATGTAGCACTTGTGTTACATATCTTGCAAAGATTATGACCCTTATGAAAATTAGTCACTCATATGAATGGTTTTTTACTCTTCCCCACCCCAGTGTGTGTAGCACATTTGAAATTTCACTGTTTTTGGGGATAATTGAAATATGTTGACCTCACAGTCTGCCTGACAAATTAATTTGTATTTTCCATGTTCCCCCAGTGTAAATACTAGCTTGACACATTAGTTCAATATTGAGTTTCATGCGAAATTTGAAAATTACAAAAACCTACTGGTAAATATTAACTATTTCAGTGCAATCCCATAATATTTAAGATGATTAAACTGAGGCCCAGAAAAGTCTGTAGAAATGGCTATGCTTTATACTAACTAGAAAAAGTAACACTTAAAGATAACCAAGCAGATGTTTACATTAACTAGCTAAATATAGAATTCCAAATACTAGAAAAACACAGCTAAAATAAAATTACTTTTTTCCTAGTACCAAAAATACATGCTTATCTCAGAAAAATTGGAAAATACAAACAAGCAAAAATTCAGGAAAAAGGAAAATACTCATAATTCTCTCCCCATTGATAAAATACAGTAGAAAACTTGGCTTATTAAGATGTTCTATGTGTTTGTATGTGTTTATGTACCTACATGTATATGCATATACATTAAACAACTCTTAGAATATTTTTAGCAACTGTGGAATTGTGCATACCATCTTGTAATATGCTTGCTTGATCTGGTACTATATCATGAACCTCTTTCCATATCAATAAAGACAATTAAAAATTTTAATTTATGATGGCATATGATGGATTATTCAGAAATAACCAGTCTCTTAAGTTAGATATTTCAGTTTTTTTTTTTATGAGAGAAGCTATTATAGTAATAGCTAATATTAAGCTTTTATTATATGGGCATATAAATGTTTTACCAATAATTCTCTTATAAATATGTTATTTTTTAGCTTAATTTTTGTGTTTTTAAAAATTTCCTTAGGATAAGTTCCTGGAAGTACACATATTAGGGCACAGATTTGCCTATTTTTATTGCTTTAATATATTACCAAATAGCCACGTAGAAATACTGATCCGGTTTATACTTTAATCATCTGTGTATGAGAATATCTGGTTCTCTACCCTCAGAAGCATTTGGGATTTTCATGGTGGTAGAGTTGTCACTATATGTGGGTAATAATAAGTTAATTATTTAATGTTCCAATCATCTCCCTATGTAATTCTTCCTTTGAGTATTGTTATTACACTAAGACTCACAAATCCTAATTTTAACTGCATTTACTAATGTGAAACTTTTAATAAAATTTGTTTAGTACTCATATCTATATGCTTCTTAGTCAGTAGTCATTCCCCCAGCTGAAGTCATTCTCCCAATTTATACTTTATCCTAATATATTCTGCTATACACAGGGTGCCCTGGACTTTCTCCATCAGTGGCCCTGCCTGTTCAGCATGGAAATTGCATGGTTTTTTTTTCAGTGCTTTCATAGTTGTATTCTTACTGCCCAAAACAGAGCCTAGAATGGAATGTTGTAGGTATAACATAAATATTTGTTGAATGAATGAAACACCTGTGATTTTTTAATTAATGGCATCTTTTTTATTTTATTAATGATCTTTTTGATTAGGTGTTAACATTGATATAATCTCTCTTCTTTTATTTTCATTAATCGAAAAATAAACATGTTTTACTCCGAGAAAGCACATGGGTTTTTTATTTTTTTAAATAATAAAGCAGGTTAGGTAATTCTTTTAGGAAATAATGAGGAACACAGCCTAAGATTTATTTTGGTAGTTTGATTTACCCATTGGTCTAGTCTTTATTCGTTTACAGAATTTATAAGAAATGTATACTCATTGAGATACTGTTAATGCCTTCCTGATTTCCTCTCTAAAACATGGGATTATGTCATTTTTAGTACCATGGAATGAATTATGTACTCAGTAACTTCAGGAGTCCACACATAACTTATTTATCCCAATTTAAGATTTATATGATTACCATACCAGAAGTGGTTATATGATCTTACTGGTAAAAAGCTGAGTCTTGAATCATAATGTGGATGTAGTGGAAATAATCCATAATCCCACTGATTTCTTTATTATCTTTTTTTCTGAACAGACTCTTAGATCCTCAGACAAATACTGAGATAGCAAACTACCCTATCTACAAAATCCTCTTCTGCGTCAGAGGGCACGATGGAACTCCTGAGAGCGACTGTTTTGCTTTCACTGAAAGTCATTACAATGCAGAACTCTTCAGAATACATGTCTTCCGGTGTGAAGTACAAGAAGCTGTAAGTCCTTGAGAAAAAACTGTCTGCAAATGAACTTTACCTGTGCCTTTACTATATTGAAATGATGCAATACTTTAGAGTCGTTTATAAGCCAAATGAAATTTTCTGCTATTGTTTTATTTATGGCATCTTGATGCGCTGAAATAAAAATAAACTACAAGTTTGGTTAACCAGAACCATGTTGCTAAGAGTGTCAGAGGAGACCAGTTGGCTGATTCTTGCTTGATTGGGTCAGACAGGCATTCTGGTTTCAGCAATGGCACATTTGCACATTGATCTTTAGAGCTAAACTTGGAGAGTTGTTTTTTTTAATAAAAATTAATATTCAGATAGTTTCTAGCAATTTAGGAAATCATTTCAGTTTAATTTCTAGTGTTTACAACCATTTTTTTTCTTTAAAAAGACCTCTGACCATTTTTAGTGTTGCTTTAACAGACCTAACAAATTAGATAATTTACCAAAATAAATCAGTGGGGGAAAGATGAACTGCTCTCCTCAACAGAGCAACCTTGATAAAAGTATTTTATTTCTTATGTTAACAGCCCATTTCCTAACATTTCTGGTTGTAGGTAAGCCGGATACTTTATAGTTTTGCCACTGCCTTCCGTCGTTCTGCTAAGCAGACCCCACTTTCAGCAACTGCCGCACTCCAGACTCCTGACAGTGACATCTTTACCTTTTCAGTGTCTTTAGAAATAAAAGAAGATGATGGTAAAGGGTATTTTAGGTAGGGCATCTGATTTTATTCATTTTCTTTGCATTTCTTTTAACATGCTGTATGTCTGAGGTTCAAGGGAAACTCTAGGTCAGATTATGTAACTTTCATGCTATAAAATAAGTGCTTTTATAGACTTTTTAAAATCTAAGTGATAAGGGAAAAGAAATAGGCAAATATGCAGACACAAGATTTGAAGGATTTTAAAATAAAATTTTTTTCACATGGGAAAATATATTACCCATGTTCTTTTAGTTGGCCTCAAAAATGATTGGTTGACTGATGATAAGAAATGTGACAGAAGCTAGGTCAGCTGTATTTGTAGCTGCATGTATTTTCCTGGGTTTTTTGTTTGTTTTGTTTTGTTTTGGGTTGGTTGATGTATTTGTTTTAAAAACTCTAAAGATTTTAAGACTGAAGTCAAGTTTTATCATTAAAGTTTATCTGAATACTTTGGAAGGGGAGAAATGATGTCTGTGTCTGAAGTCTAACCTTGAATCTAAGGTCAGAAATAACTGGTTTTGATTTTTAAGTAAAATCATAATTCTATGAGTAGTGAAAAGAACTCTGGAATAGAAATATGAACAGTTTTATTTTAATTATTGCTATTAACAATGTGACCTTTTCCAAGTTTCTTTACATTTCTTGGCAGTAGTTTCCTTATTTATAAAATGAGGTGGCTAGATTCTTAAATCCTTTCTAACTTTAAAATACAGTCACAAGATGATTTCTTTTTTTTTTCCTCGTAATCCATATCACCAAATGGGTATATCTTGGTATCATAATTCATAGTTGCATGAAGAAGTCTCTCTTCTCCATGACAGCCTCATAAAATGGGTAAAATGAAATCACATCAAAATATGAATAGTTTCTAATGTTTTGCTTTTAAATTAAAAGCACAATGACTGACATTTGTTTGAAAAACTGGTAACTCTTGGTCTCCCTTCAGAGACTTCGGAATTGTCATGCCATCTGGTGGCCAATTTAGTGTACAATGCGGCTTCAACTTCGATTTGTGCGCTGAAGTGTGAGGCATTGTCCTCTGTGCTTTCTCATGAGCTTTATTTCTATTCTCACAGCAACACTGTGATGTGGTGCTTGCTCCCTGAAATAGGCAGTCCCCTGGGAAGTGGAGATTATAATCTATAAACTTCGTAATATTTTTTTGCCTTTTTAAGAAACAAAAGTTTCTTTAAACTGTATTTTTTTCCCTTTATTGAAGATGTTTATGTAGATCCTGTTTATAAATTCCAATCATGAATAGAAAAAATTTCTAAGATCTCAGAAGAGATGCAGTAGGATAACTTCTCTTCCTTCTGAGATCAAGCGTATTCAAGGTAGGATGACACAAACATCCCTGTTCTGTTCAGAATCACAAATATCCCTGTTCTGTTCTCCCTCATACTTGGAAGATGCTCTACAGAAAAGCACTGGATGGTCAGGTTTACTTTTCACATTTTTTAGGGGTTTGTTCTCTTTTTGGTGTTGGTTTTACTGAATTTGTAGTTTATCATAGAAAAGTTGTATGACCTAGTATAGTGATGAAATCATTGGGAGGTATGCCTTTCTTTGTCAGATTTGAACTTGTCAAATGCAGTTCCTTTTATCTAATGATTATATAACATGTCTAGAAATTTATCTACATAAATAATCCTTGAGGTGCTCAAAAAGCTTCAACACGAATGTTCTCCTTAACACTGTATATAATAGCAAAATTCAAAAGAAATTGTCAACCAGAATAGAATGGTGAAAATATACATTTTATGATATATACAAACATCAAATCATTGTTGTACACCTGAAACTAATATAACGTGGTATGTCAGTTATTCCTCAAAAAATATTATACTCATCTGACTTACTACCTATCAAGAAATATATTTATATGTAGTTAACCATCACACAAGATAGTGTTTTTACCATAACATAGAGACAAAGTGCTGTGGCAAAAATTAATGCTCTTTTTATTCCTTCTTACTTTATTAAAATTAGAAACCTGCCTCTTAATTTAGCTCTTAGGAAGATGGAGCATTTTCATTTATACTGTTGAAATCATTTGTTTTATAATCCCATTAGATAGGCTGGGTATTTGATACTGTCCTTGCTTTATAGGTGAAGAAACCGGGGAAGTTAACCCTAGACCTCAGTTTCTTAAGTTGTACAACAGGGATTAAGTATAAAATTATTTGGTTGGATCCATTCAATGACATGTCACAAGACCTAAAATATAATCTAGATTCCCTGACATCAGTGAAGTGAACTTCCTCTGCTTGCCCTCTCTACTCTGCTTCTTGTTAATGTAGCTTTTTCTTGCTCTTTGGCCTCTTCATATCAGTTGTTAATTGTTTTAAATACTGCTGAGAGATGAGATTATGTTTACTTATACTTAGGCATCTATAGAACATAGACACGAGTGTTATCTATTATCAGTCGAAAATTGAGACCTGTCCATATCCCTATGGGTGAAAATTCTGTCTGGCACACATACTTCACAGTTTGGTATACAAAAGTTTTTCTTTGCACATGCTAGATATTACTACACTCGTATCAGTGTTATACAGTGTTCTTAAGTTGTTGCTATGTAAGTACAGATGGGCTTCAAACTAATTGTATTCCTTCAGAGTCCATTTTAGTTTGACTAGGTAGTCAAGCCCTCTTATAGTGTCTTCTAATGGTTCTCTGGCCATTATCTTAAAGTCATACAGTAATAAGACACAGTTTAGATTTGCTGTATATTGACTGATTGCCGTAGGCAGATGTTTGCTTTTGAGAACAAAGGAGCTAGAAAAAGTAGTGTGGGGAGACTACGGAATTATTTTGGTTGACTGTCATTTTAAGATATTCGACCTTTTTCTTAAACTGATGTTTAACTGTATCATTGGTATTACTTTACAGTTGTTAACGTAGGTATGCAAAAAGGTTATCACTATTAAGGGAAGTGTTAGGCAATAGCTTACTGTTGGCCATAGTTTTTCATCTCTCTTAGTTTTCGCAGGTTCCTTGTTTTGAAATTCAAAGGATATGTGATTATCTGTTCTCCATTATATATTTAAACAAGATGACAATTATTTATAAAAACCACTGACTAAGTAGGAAAGAAACATTTTTGAGTGCCTATGGGCTGGATGCCATGCTAGATGCTCTACAAATACCTAATTTTCAAAACAACAACAAAAATCTAAAGCTATATTTTAGGGGGCATAGGAGTGATGTTTTGCTAGCTTTTACAATTGGTTTAGTAGATTACATACAGTAATAATAATATTTTCACAAGAGAGAGATGATTTTCACATTTCTGTTACAATTGGAAAACCAGGCACAGAAAAGCACAGGTTTGAATCTTTTCTGTGCCGGTTTTCAAATCATAACAAATTGTTTTAGTATAAATCACAAGAAAATACTTTGCAGAATTAATGAAATACATTGTTCTACAGTGCAGTTCCTAAAGATAAGGACAGACAATGCTTTAAACTGCGCCAGGGAATTGATAAGAAGATTGTCATCTATGTGCAACAAACAACTAATAAAGAACTTGCCATTGAAAGGTAAACATTTTTAGTAAATTTAGATTAAATGTAAATTTAGTTTTTATCAGTTTGGTGGAACAGTCATATACTGTATTCAAAAGTATATTTGAAAAAATATTTTGTCCCCTAGGGAAATCTGTTGGTTATTGAAGTGAATACTTCCTCCACTTTAAATTATCTCACATAAATTTTCAGTTCATATGCTGACTTGAGCTATGTGATAATAAAAGGAAAACATAGAATTTGTCAATTAAAGGAACTAAGGCTTACTTTGGCAATGCAAATTTATTGATAGTTTTAATGTGTCATTTTTTCCATCCATGAGATTTGTTTTCTAAATTAAAGAAGTAAGGATTACTTTGGCAATGCAAATTTATTGATAATTTTAATGTGTCCTTTTTTCTATCAGTGAGATTTGATTTTACAGTGGCCTGATTTAAACACCTTTATTGTTTTACTTTTCTTCTCAATTTATATTGTTTTTTTCCCCCAGGTGTTTTGGTCTTCTCCTTAGCCCAGGAAAAGATGTACGAAATAGTGACATGCACTTGTTAGATTTGGTAAGAATTACCTTTTTTCCTAAGGTTACACACTCTTTCCTTGATAAAGATTGTTTCTCTTCATCTTAACTCAATCTGATGTTAAAGCACATTTATGAACATGTTCTTGTGAAGCTATAAGGCAATAAACAAAGATAAGGGAATTTCCTTACTTCTGACTTCTATTTACGTGTCTAACCTTAGACCTACTTAATTTCAGCCTTGGTTTCTTGACTGTATAATAGTGTATAATTCTTGTTTATCATGTAGGGTTGATGTGAGAATCAAAGGAGAAAAGTTGAGAGAGTGTTATTTGCAAACTGTCATGGACAGGCAGCTTTAGTATTACTGCTATTATGTGAAAATATTTTCAAAACTAAAATTTATGTGTAATTATTCACTTGACAGAAGAATTAATATAGGAATAGGTAGTTATATTTTACTAATGTTTGTATAGTTTAATATGATTTACAAGCATTTACTTTGTAACTTCAGGAACAGTTACATGAATAATTGTCACATCTTTGATTTTGACTGTAATCTTTCTTACTCACAGACACTCCTATCTTTTAAAAAAATATTTAAAAATCTGGTTTTATATTTTTGCAACTCCTAATTTTTAAAAGCAGCAAAATGGAGTGGGGCGTTATAGGCTATTGTTCACTTACTTTGGCATTAATGTTTTTTTTCCCACTCTTTTCTTTAGGAATCTATGGGCAAAAGTTCAGATGGGAAGTCCTATGTTATTACTGGGAGCTGGAATCCCAAATCCCCACATTTTCAAGTTGTAAATGAAGAAACTCCTAAAGGTGATGCAGATTGCTGGCACCATGAACAAAACTTATTTGACAAATACCCAGTAGATTTACCTGATTATGGTGAAACCAAAGAATTTGAATAGTTCTTTGAGTTTATTATTCAGCTTGACCTATAAACAAAGTATTGTTTTCCCCATTTAATTTTTCTTCCCTTCTCTCTTACTTTCCCTTCCTTGCTTCCTTTTCTATTTATGTACTTATTTATTTACAGAGTTATAAATTTCATTATTTTTGTGGAGAGATCCTATATGGATGTATTGTTAAAAATTCAAAGGATATATAGGGAAAAGTAAAAGTACCACAGTCTTCACAGCCCCACCCCACAGGGGGGGTACCAGTGTATAGTTTCCAGGATATTTCATACTCTTCCTAATGTCATTTAAAGGCTGCATAATAGTCTATCCTGAAAATGTAACATTTAGTCTATCCTGAACATGTAAGATTTTAAAAGCTGAGAATTCCCAGTGTTGTAAAAGCCATATGGAACTTTTATGTAATGATCTGACAGTACATTTCTTAAGCTTTAAAGTGTATACTGTGATAGCAGTATCTATCACTTAAAGGAGTCTACCCAAGAAAAGAATTACCTGATTGTCTTAGATTTTAATTTAATTGATGGATTACTTTATGGTATCTTGGAGTTTTGAAAATAATTAATTTTTCATTAATCATGAGTAAATATATTCCTTTTTGTATTTGCTTCTCCCGTCTCTTTGTAGATAAAGTGCTGTTTATGACCACAGCTGTTGATTTGGTAATAACAGAAGTACAGGAGCCTGTTCGATTTCTCATAGAGACAAAAGTCCGTGTTTGCTCACCTAATGAAAGATTGTTCTGGCCCTTCAGCAAACGTAGTACTACTGAAAATTTCTTTTTGAAACTAAAGCAGGTACTATACTTTCCTATAAATATAGAAGGGGTGGGGGATGAGAAAGGAGAAACCACTTCTCAGGCTGATTTATCATTAATCTAGGCTGTCAATTAGATATTTAAACAGATACATATTTTAAGTATATTAAGATGAGAAATTGTCTTTTATTTTTACCCACCTATATATCAATTTTGTTACTCTTCATTTCTCCCTGAAGGAACCAAGTTTCTGTTTGGTCTCACTTGCTTTCAACCTGAAGAACTTTTAGCATTTCTTTCATGGAAATACGTGACTCTTAGACTTTACCTGAAAATGTCTTTACTCCACTTTTGTTTCAGTAGGATGTTTTCACTGAATATAGGATTTTGGCTTACACTTTTATTCTCTTAGCACTTTAAAGATGTCATCCCACAGTCTTCTGGCTTCCACTGTTTTTGATGAGAAGTCAACATGATTTACATTGTTCCTCTATATGGAATGAGTCCTTGTCTGTCATCTGATTCTTAACATTATTTTTTATCTTTGGTTTTCAGATATTTAACTATGACATGCCTACATGGTGTTTTTTTCCCCCCTTTTTTCTTGCTTGGGATTTGTTGAGCTTCTTGACTTTTAAATTTGTTTTTTTTCTTTTACCAATTTGGGGAATATCTGTCCTGTTATTTCAACATTCTTTCCTGCTCCATCTCTTTCTCTCTATGGGATTCCAGTTACACATGTTTTTAGACATTTTGATATCCTACAGACTCTGAGGCCAAATTTATTTTTTCAAGTCCTTTTTTGTTTTATTTCTTAAGATAGGATACTTCCTGGTAACTTACGTTCAAGTTCACTTGACTCTTTTGTCACCTCCAATCTGTTGTTAAGCCCATTCAATGAAATTTTTTTAAATTTCAGATCTTGTATTTTTTATTTTTGGAATGTCCAGTTGGTTCTTTTTTTATACTTTCTGTTTTCTTATGAGATTTCCTCTTTATTTTAAGATTTTTTGTCACCTCCAATCTGTTGTTAAGCCCATTCAATGAAATTTTTTTAAATTTCAGATCTTGTATTTTTTATTTTTGGAATGTCCAGTTGGTTCTTTTTTTATACTTTCTGTTTTCTTATGAGATTTCCTCTTTATTTTAAGATTTTTCTTTTATGACCTTGAGCATAATTATAATGTAGCTACTTTAAAAATCCTTGACTGCTAATTTTAATATCTAATGAGTCGCATTTTTCTGTTTGTCTAGTAGTTTTGGATTATATGTTAGACATTGTTAATGATAGATTGTAGAGATTCTGTTTTGTCTTCTGAGTATCATTGTTTTTTCTTCATCTGTCAACTTATTTAGTCAAAATCAAACTCCATACTTGTATCTTTCCTGTGGTGGGCACATTGAAATTGCTGTTCCCTTTCCTTAGCTTTTCTTGGCTTTGTTTGCACTGCTACATACTGCTCCCCTTTTGCTTTCCTTTTTATCCAAAACTCCTTGAAGAAAATCAAGTTCACAGTGACCCAAATTGCTAAATCCAGTGGTCAACCTGAGTCTTCATCTTGCTTTAGCTTTCAGCAGTATTTGATACATACATAATCATTCTTTCCTCCTTAATTAACCCTTTTTAACTTTGCTTTCAGGACATCTCACTCACCTTTACCATGTCCAGAAAGGTCTCATCTCATCCCCATCCCTAAGATGTTCTACCTTTATTCAGTATCTCAGTTCATGGCCATCTTCTCCTAATAGTTGCTTAAACCAAATATTTTATTCTTTTACTTTTTGTACCTTATATCCAGTCTGTTAGAAAATTCTGTTTCTTTTAAAACATCTAGAATCTGAACACTTCTCACCACTTAGATTGTATTAACCCCATCTGAACCACCATTTTTCCCTGGGTTATTACACTAGGCTTTTTATTAATCTCCCTGATACTACTGATACTATTTTTACCTCCCTTTGCTGTGTTCTCAACATAGCAGCCTAAGGTCAGATTGCATCATTTTTCTCCCCAAAAGCTTTTAACCCTGTTTTACTCCATGGAAAGCCAAAGTCCTTATAGTGGTTTATAAGACCCTCTCTGATATGCTACCTATTATAATGTCAAATACTAGTTCCTCTCTTATCATTATACCTTCTTGCTTGTGTCCTCTGCTCTGACCATGCTCTTAGGGCCTTTGCTTATTAACAGTTCCTTCTGCCTAGAATGTTCTTGCCCTGGATCCCGCTTGTTGCTAGTCAACTCCTTATCTTCTTCAAGTCTTTGCACAGAATTACTTCTTAGCAACTCACAGCTACCCCATTTAACACTTCAATTTGTCCACTCTTTTCACTAGTACTACCAAACACCCTCACCCCCATGTATTTTGAATTTTTTAAAAAGGCTGTTACCTTCCACTATATCACAAAGCATGTTTATTTTTATTATCTATTTTCCATATTAGAAACCTCTACTAAAGCAATTTTCTTAATCTTTTTCACTGATTTAGCCCAAGCATTAGAACATAGTAATTCTCAATAAATAATTGGTAGAGTTGTTTTTATTTGCATGTAACTTTGATCTTCCATTATACAAAATTATAAGATTGTATGTGGATTTATTTGAATATACTTTCCTGTAGCAGTAAGTTATTTAGTTCTCATATATCCAATTTAGCCCTTCTGGTTACAGTTAGAAAAAGGTAACAAGCAAAACAAGAATAAAGATTTCTTTTTGGTATTGTCTTAAGAGACAGAAAGTAAGTCTGGGTCCCAGCACTGTTCTCCCAGCTTTCACTGTGGCAAGAGAAAGGATTAGCATCGGATTTCATCTAGAATTTGGCTTTGAAATCAGAGTACATGGCTCTTACAACTGACTAGCTGTATGACTGTGCAAGTTCCTTCAACTTTCCGAGCCTCTGTTACTCAGCTGTAAAATGGCAGTGATAGAATCTTCTTTATAGTGTTGTTACAACACACTTGGCATAGCATGTTCTCCATACATTTTAGCTATTATTATTGAGAGGGACTGTGAAACATCAGTGGAGAGAGGAAGAATAAAAACACACTGTCATGGAATCAGAACAGCATTGAATATTGAGTTGATTAGCCACAGTGGAAGAATGCCTCAAAAAGAAACCCAGTTTATATGCATCTTTTTAAAAGTTCAGAGAGTGAATGGTAATGTTTCTTAACATTCTAAACAGATTATAAATATAAATTAATTGTGTAATATTTTGAGTACAAATTTGAATGTAAAAAAAAATTTTCTTTAATTAAAGAAAAGAGTTCTGTCTCTTTTATCTTAGTACACAAATAAGATTCCCCAATATTGCTTTTCCCTTGAGTCCTGTGTTACATAACTTTGCAGAGACTGCATGGGTTTACAGGAATATTACTTTTGGTGTTTGGTCTAGAATAATGTACCTAATTAGGCCAGCAAACTACTTGGAAGAGTAGACTAGCCAAAAACATACATATAACTGAGACATAATCTTAGGGACAACTCTAGAGTGTTTGTTAAGGTTACAGACTGAATGTAGGCTGATTGTCAGTATTTTCTTTGTAAAAACCAGAAGTTTATATGTGGGAGCTACGAGGAGGGCAGGGAATTCCTCAGAATAATTTTCATTTTCTCCTTATTCAGGTACGGCTTATTTTGGTGGGGAAGGGAGACTTGTATGAGGGGTAGGAGTTAGAAAGGAAGGACTATGTGAAGATGTGAGCAACTTTTTACTGTCTTAATGCATTTAGAGCACTGTTCATCTCATCCCCTTTTAATGTAGTAGACTAGGTTTATTTATTCCCTCTTTAATATTCATGGCATTAAAAAATTATAGTTCTACTATTTATTCCCTCTTTAATATTCATGGCATTAAAAAATAATAGTTCTACTAGTTGAGGCCCTGTTGTGGCCATAACTGTACTAGCTACTTTTTCTGTCTTAAGAATTTTCATAGTGATCCAGTGAGGGCAATAGTCTCATTTTATCCAAGGACATAAAATAGTAGATTTTATGGGATGTTGTTTAACAGGATACATACCTAAGACTTCTAAGATTCTCTGTCAGAGTTCTGTCCATAGCTACATGCACCCTTTTTCTTTTTTCTGAAAAAGTATTTTTTAAATTTACTTAAATCAAATTAACCATAATTTAAAAGTTTAACCCCATTACAGTTCTCATTAGACAGAAAAGGAAACAGTGCTGCATATCAAATTTTTAAAATATATGTTGTTTCTGTGTATTGCCATCAGGATGAGAAAGCAATTATAGAAATGTTTTTGAAAAACACATGTTTAAGAATTCATTCTTTTCCTTTTTCTAAAACTATCTGGTGACTCAGGGACTCCTTTTTAGTCTAAAAACCTTGCAAACTGTGAGGGTTGTTATATTAAGATGTGCATCATATTGGAAAAGAAACTTTTTAAAATTAAACTTTTAGGTATCATTTACTAAAAGAGAAAGAAAATGGTCTGAGGATTAGATTTTTCCAACAGTAACATAAAGTGAATATAAAACCAACTAAGCATTGTTAAAACTATAGACTTACAGAATTTTTATTGCCAAAGAGACTTACAGAGGTCTTAAAATATTTTTTTGTTGTTGTTTCTCATTTTATTTATTCATTCATCCATCCATTTATTTATTTATTTATTTTAATTTTGTTAACATTACTCTACAATTACATGAAGAACACTGTTTACTAGGCTCTCCCCTTCACCAAGTCCCCCCAACAAACCCCATTACAGTCACTGTCCATCAGCGTAGTAAGATGTTGTAGAATCACTACTTGTCTTCTCTGTGTTGCACAGCCCTCTCCTTTCCCCCACACCACCAATTTATACATGCTAATCATAATACCCCCTTTCTTCTTCCCTGCTCTTATCCCTCCCTACCCTCCCATTCTCCCCAGTCCCTTTCCCTTTGGTAACTGTTAGTCCATTCTTCCGTTCTGTGATTCTGCTGCTGTTTTGTTCCTTCAGTTTTTCTTTGTTCTTATACTCCACATATGAGTGAAATCATTTGGTATTTG